GGAAGTCATTCCCTTTGGCCTATTTCCGTGTTGTGGTTGAGAGAATAGTAATACTTTTTTGGGCCATTTCTTTGGTTTATATGAAAAAATAAAATACATGAGTACGTGAATCACAATACAGGATGCTATCATAATCTCTCAACAGGGTAATAGTGCACTATAAACAATTTAAATGGTTTTTAGTCATTCACAATATTAGGAACTAATTTTCGGTTTACCGTTGCTCTTCCTTTTATCTTTATTTCTTATTTTTTATTGTAATTAGATATTTCAGCTGTTAGGTATTTTTTACTCGATAGTCATCAACTTTAGAACGGAGTAATCGACGTAGTTCACCTATTAATGATAAAGAAAAGTGTTTTAAATCTTGAATTTCATTACAGTGTTTACGGTAGATAGATTAGCGTGATTAAGAGTAAAGTGGTCGATGGAATAATGGGTGATCCATGACAATTGCCTTTTCAATGGGCTATATAGAGTAAGGTTTTTAAACGTTTATAAATAATGAAAAAATAGAACTTCGATTACCAAGTCTCGTTGAACTGGACCGCAACCGCTCTAATTTCGATTTGAATTTGAAAGAAAAACCGTTAGAAACTCGAGTTGTCAGCCATCAAGTGGACTTAGTCGGGACATAAATAGGCCTTAAAGTCCTCGCCAGAACAGAAGATGCCAGAAAAACTACAACGTGCCAATAACGGATGCCAAATTCCTGAATACTTTGTTCGCAATAGCCAGGCATCTCGCGTAAAGTGTAGTCTGTATGGCACTCACTCTCTCACTCTCTCTCTTTGGTACTACCCGTATGCATCAAAGAGAGAGAGTGAGAATTGATACCAAGAAACCTTACTGAATACAAGCGAACAGACCAAAGGGGGAAAATGTAGCTAAACTGAAGATATCAAAATAATCCTAATCCGTGGCGACTCCGAGGCATGGAGAGCGGACACGGCGCCTGCAGGCTGGCGCGATGTCGTCTCGCCGCCTGCCCTTCCGACGCAGCAAAGGCGCCATCGGTCGTAGTTAGAAGCCTTCCTTTAAAACGTACTCGGCTGCGTGTGTATCAAAATATACAATATATATGTATATATGTGTGTGCATGTGCGAATACATGCATTATTTGTATACACATATATAAATGCATGCTGTATATCTGGATATACATATGCATATACATATTGTTTGATTATCTATCTATCTATCTATCTATATATATATATATATATATGTGTGTGTGTGTGTGTGTGTGTGTGTGTGTGTGTAATTGTGTGTGTGTGTGTGCATATGTATGCATATACATATTCATACACACACGCATATTAATATATATATATATATATATATATATATATATATATATATATATATATATATATGTGTATGTATGTATGTATGTATACATATGCATATATATATATATAAATATATATATATATATATATATATATATATATATATATATATATATTATATATATGCTCAAAACGCAAGAGGGCTGCTACACTCCATATACTCGTTATAATTTATAGATGATAACAGCATAACGTAATGCCGACAGTATGACCTTATGGTCAGCGTAGTTTTCAGTGCGTGTCTGCATCTTGACCACGTTGAGGACCCAGGTGTTCACGAGGCTGCTCGAGGCGCCAATCCAGAGTCGACTTCCCGGCCAAAGCGAGAGTTCCAGCAGGACCTCTGTTGTTTCTTGACCCACGATGGACGATCGCCGTTGTTAGCTGCCTCCGAGCCCCTGGTTTTTCCCGCCGCAGAAATACGAGCCAGCAGGTAAGCTAACAGACCAAGTATGGAACATTTCCAACATACCCTTTCCCAGATGTTTTGTCGGGCTTGGGGCGGCGGGGCTCACCTTAGGCCGCTTCAGGAGGCCCGTGGCCACGTTGTTTCCCGCTGCAAGACGCCGGGCGCGCGTGCGGCTGCGGGAGAGACAGGGAGAGCGCGCGGCGTGGAGCAATCGTTTCGCTTTGGTGATGCCGCGTTGTTTTCGATGAAAATTCTTCTCTCGGCCTGATAAGTTCCCCATTCCTTCCGCCGCTTAGACTGTTTGTCTTC